GTGTGTGCTTCTGTCAATTTATACATGTGATTACAGGCCTGGCAAGGAAGCAGTGGGTTTGGACTAGAATTAGCAGATCAGAAAACAAGTCACACAGATCTCATAACTTACCTCTGCAGTGCTAATGCTACACAAGCTGCTTAGTTATATATAGACCACTGTCATCTTTCTTTAAATTATAAAAAGCCAGCTTGGACTACAGCTCAGTGCTAGAGCATTTGCTTAGCATATGTGAGGCCCTGGGGTTAGATCCCTAGCACTGCAAATAAATAAATAAATAAATGCAAATCAGTCCCTCCTAAAAGAATAAATGTTAGACTTAGAAATTTTTAAACAAAACAGAAGTGGAAGAATCCAAGGACAGTATCAAAGACTGAAAATATATACAGGCCACCAATTGTTTGGAACAAAATCCAGCTAGGTAAGTGGGAACATCAGGTTTATGGAAGCCTTTGCCACTCTGTAGAGCACCGAGTAGACAGATGGTTTATGGGAAATGCAGTGGCAGAGTCACAGCACCCATCCCTAACCTACACCACTATGCTTTGCAGAGTTTCTAAGGGCAGGCCTGGATCCAGCCCCAGAAGCCCTGCTTCAAGTCCTAGCTCTCCACTCACCAGGTGGACAGGAAGAGGCCCCTACCTGGTCCCCAGGCTCCCAGCTGTAACAAGCAGGAATGCAGAGAAAATCCTTGCTCCTGGAAGTGATTCGGGAAGAATTCCTGCTCGAGATGAGCAATGGATAAATTTCACCTGGAGCTCAGTGAGATCTGGGTGCTTTGTTTTATGTGATAGTCCCTCAACTCTGTCATTTTTCAAGACCAAAAATATACTAGTAGGAATGTAAGGGATATTGTGAAGGCAGATGACAAGAGCTGGCAAATTATAAGAGAAGGAAGCAGAATTAAGATGAATGAAGACAACAGTAAAGTAAAATTTCTTTTGCCACAGAATTAAAATGCAGGAGAAGCTGAATTTTCATTGAAAATCCCAAAATGTTAAATGTGATTAAGATTATTTTGTCAGGGAAGGGGTAGGGGTCTAAAAATCATCAAACTAACCTGAAAGCAGCTTCTCCTTGATCTTTCTCCTGACATGCAATGTAAACACATTTAAGGAAATTTTCTAGAATTTAGCTGAGAGCCTCATTAACTGGATATAGTTATAGCACATCTCTGTCCACAATATTTACATCTTTATGGCATCCTTAAGTTATCTACACTACCAACAGAAATGTACTTTTAACTACATTCGCAGAGATTAGTTTCCATTATGCTAATTTTTGGTTTTCTCAAAATCTGAAGTATGGCTAATTGCTATCCAAATGAAGTAATAATGAAAATTTCAAATTCCAGTTTCTAACCTAGGTGTTTGACTTTGGGCAGCTTATTTAAATAAGTTAACATCTTTATGTCTAAGTTTCACATCTTTTAAAATGGGGTTTTATGTGATGCGTATTGAAAGCTTTAATATGTGAAATAGAACAACACATAGTGCATGTAACCAAATAAGTACTAGTTGCCATCTGTTTTGTATTTAAAAGTGTGCAAAAGACCGATGGCACCGTCTGCCTTGAGATTTTTACCACAGCCACGGACAGGTACTTTAGGAATGGCATGTCCTAAGATGGGCTAATGCCTGAGGGACCAGCATGCAGACCAAGTCTTCAGAGCAACCCTAGAGTTTCACTGAGATCCTCTTGGTCCCCTTAGTTTTGCAAAAGAGAAAAACTTCCCTTTAAAGAGGTTAAGCAACTGGTTACATAACTGGAAGGTAGTTAACAAGGGCCACTCCAGGACTAGGATCCAAATCTTTTATTATCTATATTTCTTCCTGCAAGCAAGTGGTATATTTGCCTGTTTCCTGAGCATTCTGATGAAGTAATGTACATAAAGCACTGACCTCAGGTCTGGGCCACAGTGAGTCTTGGTGGGCAGTAGCCCTCCAGTGCTGCCAGCACCTTCTACTTCCTTTTGGCTGGAGTCTGAAAGGTCTAGTAAAAAAGAAAAAAGAAGAAAAAAAAAAACGTGAAAAACAAGATGGTCTTACATATCTAGCTATGGGGAGACGCCCCATGATTTGACTGCCATTTCCCCGAATGGTTCATGCAGGGGTGCCCAGTCATCATATAAGTGTGCATCTGCTGGAAGAGCTGGGAATTGCACTTTCGCTGTTAGTGTAGACATCATTCTTATAGTGTTTACCACACAAGACCCCTGCCCTGTTGTCCAGTTCCTCCTCAAGGCATCCACCCACGAACACAGAAGTGTGCCCAAGAAGGTTGTTTCTGGTCCTCATGGCCCAGTCACCAGTGATTATGGAAAGTAGCACTCATGGTGAAGAGAACAAGACACCGCAACCTCACTGCTTGGTGTGTCCCTTTCCCCACGTTCATTCCCTGGGTTACCCTGCACAAGTCTCCCAACACTTCTGGGCCTTAGTTTCCTCATTTATAAGCTAGTCCCTATCTGCTGAGAGTGAAAAATCGAAGGATGTATTTTCAGAGGAGTCTGGCTAGGAGAATGTTTCCATGACCATGAGCTGTTAGACCTCTCATAACCAGCTGCAGGATAACCAGGTGGGCTTCCTCCCTGACTCTACTGCCTTCTGCACAGACCCTGTCTTCAGATATTTATTTTACTCACAAGAATGCAGCTGCTTCTCTCCCTTCTGAAAGCATCCCAAAGCTTCTTCCCTACTTTTTATGCTAGAAACTAGCAGCTGGTAGGTCCTCTGACTTCACTCATTCTGTCTGCTTTGTGGTGGCCCCTGCTTGACCTGAGGAAGATGGCTCATCCCAGAGGTGGAACTAGTGCTGACTCAAGGCTGCAGCCCACTGTTGAAGCCCTGTGCCTTCTTCCTACAAATGAGGGTTGTTGTCATTAAGCTTGCAGAAACCACCTCCTATTGAAAAAAGAAACTAGAAGAATTTGGAGTTTGTAGCAGAAAGAAATGAAACTGAATAGATAGATACACTTAACCTGATATAAACACTGCACAATGTATATATGCATCTAAACATCACATTACCATTTATATGTACAATTTTTTATGTTTTTGTCAGTTAAAAAAATAAATGGAAAATGGCCCCATAGGCCAGCTAAATGCTGAGTTAATCACATCTTCTCTGCACTTGTAACATGTGGCTTCCAAGTACAAAGATTGACCCCCTAATACAAAACTTTGCTAGTGGAGTGTTATTTCCCATCAGTATTCTATATGATGGACAAAGACAGGTATTGCTTGTACCAGGTAATGTGTTGCATCATATACGTGTAATCTTCACAATTACATTGAAAGGAGTATCATTTCCATTACACACATGAAGAAGCTGAGCATTACAAACACCAAGTGATCTGCCTAAGGTGACACAGCTTGAGGCCTGCGCTAGAGTAAAATCTAAACCTGTTTAAGTCTCCATGATCACGTGGAGTGGTTGTTAAAAACAGGCTGCATCCCAGATGGTTAATCCAGGGTCTCCAGAGAAACCAGGGAAGCTACTCTTTCAAAAGTGTCCCAGGTGCTTTCTGTCTGGGAAGACCACACTCTCCCAGGCCATTTTAGGGCCTGGAAGCCTTTGAGCAGAATAGTGCACAGGTGCAACTGTTTGCTGAGTCTCTGCCTTTGATGAAATGTTTAACCCCCTGTAGTCCCTCACTCTCAGTTAGAAGTGGAGCCGCATCTCAGTGTCTGCCCTGTGTCTCACAGGAGTGCTGGGAAGAGCAGTGAATGCGGGTGAAGATGCTCTGCACAGTGTCTGTGGAAAGATGTACTTTGCAGACAGACTCACTGTGAACCTTCCAGTAATCTTTTTAATAGCTTTTGTGAGTGGACTTGGGACTCTATTACGCCTTCTATTATGGTTTTGTGGGAAAATGCATTCAGATTTCAAAATAATTCACTCAAAAGTTTTAGAATAAAATTAATCTCAACTTTCAGGTTCTCTAAGTTTTATATATAGGCCTAGGAATATTGAATATACTTGAAATGTTTTCCATGTGAATATTAAACACAGTTAATTTGGCTTTCTGATATATTTGGTATCTCTTTAGTGAGTCTTAGTCTTGATAAATGGAAAGTATAAACTAAAAAATTACAGTGATTATACCATGAAAAAATATAAAAGTTCTGACTCATTGAGCATTTCTATGTGCCCAAATCTGTGCTAAGCCAGTACTTTTCATACCATACTTATTAAATGTTATACCCATCTGCCTACATTTAAAGAAACTAGTATCTTTGTAAGAGCCATTTAGCTTATAACAATAATCGAACAAAATTCAAACAAAATATCAGACCCCAATTAGTCACTTTGCTACAAGAGATCTCCAGGCACACACATTGATTAGGATGCAAACACAGAAAAACAACAGCCATGGCTAGGAAAGATGGGTCGTGGATTATTTATTCTTCACTTAAAATGAATTATTGGTATAACAATTCCTGTAATGATTTCTGAGAAAAAATACTGCACTAAAAATTTACTTGGATTTTATAACCAGATGCCAAGATTTGTATTACTTTGGGCTTGGGATTTTGTTTTCTTTCCTGAACCTTCACGATTTCTGGTTTCTGTGAAATTAAAAAACGGAAATATATTTAAATGGCAAGAAATCTACCCAAATGCCCTCTACTCTTTGCTGAGTAAGAGAATTTCTGCCCTTCATAGGTGAGGAATGAGGGTCCTGGCAATGAGAGATTTGTTCTGAGCTCTTGTATATCAGAAACAGCTGTCCTAGCCTGGCTCTGCCTAGATAGCAGCCATCCTCATGAAGAGCAAACCCAGAACCTTTGTCCATTCATCTCATGCTCCACCCTGCCAGCTCCTCAGCAAATTGCATCATCACATCCAGCCCTTGACACATACTCTCATAAGGACAGTGCTTGACAGCCAAGTAGAAAACGAAATGTTGTTTATCTTACTGTGAAAGCAGGTCCTCCTTACCCAACCCTGCTTTAAGATGAGCTCCTTTCCCACAAGTGACTTCTCCTTTCTCATAGATATCTGCCAACGAGATTGAAATGCTTTTGATGAGGCTGCCTCGAATGTTCAAGCAAGAGTTCACAGGTGTGGGAGCAACGCTGGAAAAGAGATGGAAGTTGTGTGCCTTTGAAGGAATTAAAACTACCTAACTGTGAAGAGCCAGAAACCTCTGGAATTGAAATAGTCTGAACCTGGCTAGGGCTATGCAGTGAGAGAGGAGTTGGGGTTGCCCAATGCAGGACCTGTGCAAAGCCATCAAAGCCTGACTTCAGTTACATCTGTGGTGTTCTTTTGTGAGTGGACATGTAATTGTGTACCAGTTCCTTCAACTAAACAAAGCTTCATACTGTGACAGATCTGTTTCCAATGAAAACCAAACAGTGATTCCACAGTCATAATGATGGCAAAATCTTTAATAGGCTACATTTGCGAATAGCTCACCAAGCAAAATATTTAAAGTTAATGATGGTGTAGCGATGGTGGTTGCTAGGCTACAGAGTTGTGTATGTAATGTATAGCTGAACTCATTAAAATGACATTTTCCTGAAAAGTCTTTCTGTTTAAGTTAAACAACAAAAGTAATTTTACAGTGAGGAATAATACCAAAAGAAAACTTGAATATGTGTCTGAACAGTTATTGTATTTTATAAATTAAGTTATATGCTGTTCCAGGGACTTTTGCCTTTTTGAAGAGGCAGAAGCTATGATTGGACTCCTTGAGAATGCTTTATCAAGAATATTATTTTTCTAATGTAACAATTCTCCATCATAAGTTCTTTTAACATGGACTGCATAACAATTTTCATAAGATGTAAATAAAGGAAAACTAGTGCTACTGTCTTGTACTTGGTATGTAACATTCAGGTTTCTGCATCAAAATAAACATTCAGCAAATATTCCTGTTACAAATTTTATAGCAAAGATATTAATTTTTTTCAATAAATATGACTTCTACCGTATTAGTTTTGCAAATTATTTGATATATTTTAGTTATTCTTTAAGACATATTTTTCTCATTATTTAGTCTCCTTATATCCACTTTAAATTATTAAATATATGAGTAACTTTAAGAGATTAAACATTATTTCAAATAAGAATATATGAAGATTGTAGTATGGACAGCATGAACACGGCGATTATGTAGTATTAGAGTAGATACTATTTAAAATATTAAGACAGCATTCAAACATAATCATTACAAGTTTTACCTTTTTCTGTGTCTTCATGACCAGGTACAAAGTAGCCAGTTAGTAAATAAATTAAAAACATAATAAAATTAATTTGTGTATTTGCTAGAAGACTTACAAATTAGAAAAGAATTGAGGAATTCACACATAAACCAACAACTTAGCCGGGACTTGGGTTTCCCCTCTTGAATAACAAGTAGGTTATCATTTTAAATTGTCCCCCTTTCCAGCTTTTCACTTAAAATCACAAAAAATATTGAAGATATTGATGAATTTTAAATGAAATTGTTTTTAGGAAGATAGCTGAAGAGTTAATATTCTTTGAAATTATGAAAAGATCTTCATAATTTTCTATCAGACATTATTAACCTCAGGTTTTATATTGAACTCTGAAAAATTAAAGTACTTATAAGTCCCATAAATATCTACATGTTCATTTTGTTCAGAGTCGATGCTAATACTATTAATAGAGCGATGAATAAAAAAATATTTCTGAGTGTTTTCAGAGTTCAGTGGGAAAAGACATTTTCACAAAAGGTCCTATACATTGTGATTGGGGTATAATGAAGACTTGATCAGGGAGTCACATTGAATGGAAATGTCACAGTAAACACTGGAGGCTTTCCCTACCATCTGCTAATGCCAACAACCATCACCATCCTGACAGATTTCTAAAGCCAGGAACCACAACAAGTACACGACAGTCAGGAAGCAGAAGATATTAGAAGATATTGTTTTATAGATAATGTTACTGTAAAATAAAAAAACTGAGAGGCTTACCTGAATAGCAATAAGAAAAAAAGAATTCATTAAAGTGCCTTGTTATAAAAACATAAATTTAGTAGGGACTATGTGTCACGGTGTAAAGTGTCAGACTCATTGAGGCTTACTCTTCAATGCACCAGTCTGCAGAGGTGGGACCTAGAGGTGACTGGATCATGAAAGCACTAACCCCATTGTGGTAAGCCATGGATGATTTCACAGATGAACGAGCTATTAGAAGGTAAGACCCAGCTGGAGGAAGTAGATGACTGTGTACCTTTGCAGAGTGTATCTTGTCCCAGCCCTTCCTCTCTCTCTTGCTCTCCCTCTGGCCCTGTCCTTCATTCTCTGCTTCTCAGCTCCCATGAGATGAACAGCTTTGCTCCACCACGCCTTTCTTCTGTAAGGTTCTGCCTCACCTCAGGCCCACAGCAATGGAACCACTGGACTATGGACTAAAATCTCTCCAACTGTGAGCCAAAATATACATTGTCTCCTCTACGTTGTTTTTCTTAGGTATTTTGTCACAGCAACAAAAATGTGACCTAATACAGGACAAAGGGGAAGGTATCATAACCTATTTCGAACTGGAAGCAAGGTGGATATTTTTGGTTTTTGTATTTACTTTATTGGTATATATTTCTTTTGGGGAATTGGCTCGCACGTGTGCACATGCAGACGCACACACACACACACACACACATCCTCTCTTGATCATTTTCAAAACCATATCTCGCTGCATTCTCCTGTCCCCTTATCACTCTCCCCATCTCTAAAACTATCCCTTCCTGTTTCTTACCAACTCTCCTTTAATTCACTCTTGAATTTATTTATATTTGGGGTGCTTATATACGAGAAACCATTTAATATTCTTTATCTGACTCATTTCACTTGACATTATGTTCCCAAGATCCATTTGGATGTTTTAAAGTGTGCATTCATACTTTCAGGTATTCCCAGGAGTCACTTTAGCAGAAAGACATATTGCACTGAAACCTTGACACAGACCTCTTCATTCTCACAAACCCACTGTTTGATTGGAAAGAGGAACTGGAGGGGCCTAAATAGCAAATCTGAGGAATGGTTAATTTACCTCCCAAAAATATTTGAGTAATCCCTAGAGAGAAGCTTCTGTACTAGGAAAATCTATTTTGTCTCAATATATTTACTTATACCTGAAATTATATTACTTGAGTAACAAATCTAGACAATTCTCGATAAGTCTAGACAATTAGTTGTCTAGAACTATGTTAGCTATGTATTTTAAATTCAGTTATGTGAATAAATTATTTTTGGAGGGAAGAGTCTTAAAATTATTTTACAGACCTTGGTTTCACATGGGACTTTAGAGTGACCTGAGGAAGCCACTTTCATTATCATGTGAGGGCAGTTTAGAATCTATCTATGTCTGTCATCCCATTCTCTTTAGTCCATTCATAACATTCACATTTGTCATGCAAGGAATGAGGGCTCAGAATTTTTAAATTATTTGCCATCTTTGCCATTAATAACTTTTTAGTCCAAGAGTGGAACTGAAGGCTGACTCTGAAGTATATTCTTCTCTACACTTGGTCATACTCTGCCTCCTCCTATTCCCAACTCCATTCTCATGAGCCCAGCGCCCCTCCTTCCAGTGCCTTTGGATCACTCCTTTACCCCCACTATCCCTTGTACATGGGTGAAAGTGTGAATACTCTTCAGGTCTTTCCCTCCTAAGTTACCCAGTGACAAATCAGGTTGGTTCCAAAAATAAGCAGAACATTAAAGCTTTCAAGATTCTTGTGATCTGGCCCTGGAGGTCTTTGTCTTCCTTTTTTTCTCTGCTTCCTTAAATAGAACTCGTTTCTTTGCCTTTCTCTTTTGTTCATCTTTCTGTCTAAATGATCTGTCTCATATCTAGTAATCACAATTCTACTCAGCCTTATAAAACAAAGCTCCCATCCCCACCATGGAGCTTCTCTGTGCCCAGAAGTCATTTTCCTTGCCTCTGCACAGCTATCCCATACTGGCAACTTCTTAAGGCACTTTCCACCAGGAGTTCTTGATTTAGCTCCCTATTAAATTACAAGCTTATTGAGGGATCCCGAGCACATCTCTTTGACTCTGAATTGTCTTACGGTTGTTTTACTTATATTTAGAAAGTAGGCCAGATAATGAACTGAGATGTTTTTCTGGCTCCAGGGACCTTTTTGTTTACAAACATACAAAGGCCCAGATACTGCAAGATGTGGGGCATCCCACACCCCTACACAGGGATCCATGCAGCAGAGGTACCTGGGGCCAGAGAGGCCATTACTATGAGCTCAGAAAAATGATGTAGTGTTGAGCAGCAGAAAGAGGGCCTCTCCGAGGCATGTTGTTGAAAACTGAAGCCCTCTGTGAGAATGAAGATGGAGCGCACTATAGCAGTTGGTGAGTGCTTGGGACCCAGCACCTCTTATCAAACCGGACTTCCTACAGGGGAAGGGTGACTCAAACCTGCAGTAGAATTGTGTGGAGTTCTAATGTGCAGGAGATCAGGGAGCTCAATTCTGGCCTCACAGCCAGAAACCAGCCTGAATCTCAATGGACTATGGCTGGCTCACTAAGATTAATCAGGTCACTTCTGCACACTGCTGCCCATATTGTTTACCAGCAATAGTAAAGACATGCCTCAAAAGGCACCTTTTTTATTTGTTTTTTATTTCTTTTTATCTTTTACTTCTTTTCTTCTCCATTTCTCTCCTTTCTGTTCCTGTTTTTTTTCCCATTCTGTTTTTTCTTGATTGCTTTGTTATAGTATAAATACTTTAGTTTTCCTGTTGCTCTTCTTGTTTTTGTCTCTTCATTCTTTCTTTTCCTCCTGTTTTCACCAGTTTCCCAAGGTTTTTGTGATCTTTCCGTATCCTCTAGCCCTATTTCTAATCTATCCTTCTTCTATCTCTGTACCCCCCAACTCTGTCTAAGTCTTCTTCTTGGAGGGTAAAGCCACTATATTGAAGGGCTTATTTACAATAAACATATTTCTGGTTGGACCTTGATTTTGACATATAATCGCAAGTCGAGTCCATGCAGTTAAAGGTGTCAGAATAATAGGTACCACAATTTGTCATTTTCTAAGCTGTATTTGATGCTATTCTGGATGCTGATTGTATTACCGTTTCCAAGGCAATGTGAGTGTTCTAATCAGCTGTCCTTCATAGTATACCAAGACTGAGATTGCTGAAGGGCCATTGCCAACTCAAAAATCCAAAGGCTTCCTATACCAAGAAGACAATCCAAGAAGTATCCATTCCCTAAGGGCTCTAAATACTGGCAATAAAGATATTTGCAAGAAGCTGTTTATTAGCATCAAACCAGGAATTAAACAAAAAACTTCAACAACAAAAAAAAATAGAAATGAGAAGACACCTAAACAAGATGCAAACCCAAATGTTCGGATCACCAAAGAGAAATCCAGGGGGCAAGATGGAATGATCCAAAACTCAAGCATCTGGACTCCCTGAACTGGCAATGAAAGATCTGGAAAAAATGAAATCAGAAAGTCTCTCAGTTAACAACAGAGATCATGGCCATAGTGAAAGACATGATTAATAACCCTACAGAAAACACAGATTTAAAAAAAATAGAGAGCTCAGGAAAAAGATGGAATCCATGAACACCCAGAAGAGGAAAGAAGTAGAATCCATAAAACAGATTCAAACAGACATCTAGGTGATTAAAAACTGCATTGAAAGTATATGCAGCAGAATGAGCCAACATGAGGAAAGAATATCACAGATATAGAAGACAGGATAGCAGCTAGTGACCAGGAAAAGAAAGATTTCATAAAAATAGCAAGGCACAACAAGAAATCTATCCATCAGCAGTTATGTGACGCAAAGAAGAATAATATAAGAATGATCAGTCAATGGAAAAGCATGAGATAGTGCAAATGACATTTAAAACACTTCACAGAAGTAATGGCAGAAAACTTCCCAAACTGGGGAAAAGAATACAGATAA